TATATATATATATATATATATCTCGATATAAAATGTATATATAGCATAAGATGTATATATAGTATAGTATAGTATATATACTAAATGTATAATATATAGGCTATATAGGCTATATATATATATATATATATATAAAAGCTATATTCGTAATTAAATATTGAATATTAAATAAAATTTAGGTCACAATTCTATAATAAAATTTATAATGCATTGCCTTAGATATTTTTTTAACATTCTTTTATCTCTAATTTTAATTTTTTTTTTAAAATCCGTTAGGCCCACTTAGCCCATTTAGCCCGCGGGCCGAGACCGTTTAGCGCGGGACCAAACGGTCCCGGTCCCTATAAAAAGACCACTTAACCCGGGACCATTTAGCCCGTTTAATTTAGGACCGGCCCCAGACCGGGACCGTTTGGACCAGCCCACTTGGCCCGTTTAGATCCGGGACCGGCCCACTTGCTACCTTTAATTGGCATCATGCTTTTGATGACTTTGGTGCCAAAATATTTTGTGAAAAAGAGATTGAAGTGTTATGAGTCACGTTCCTTATTGTAATGTACAATAATAAAATTTTCACTATTAACAAGAAAGTACACAGGTAGTTGCTTGAAAGGTTAGCTAATAAAATTGCAAAATCAAACCTTTAGGAATTCGTGGGCAGAAGCCAGAGAGTACCGACCAATAGCTTTATAATATTATGTCACTTAAACAGAAAAACAACCTATGCATCTCAACCAATGCACTAGAAAAAGGATATCGTGCCTTTGAATTACTTAATATTCCTGGAATGGAAAAGTTAAATTCAAAGTAAATACTCAACAGTTTGAATGTCGTGCTGATAATGTGTTATAAAATAAAAATTATAAAGTAAATAAATCGAAAACAAGTATAGAGAGAGATTGATATATTATTCAACTTCAAACTGATGTACATAATGAATTGAAATCTCCCCTATTTATAGAATAAAGGGAGCAGCTGCGAGACTTTTCTTGAGCTACTTGTAAGCTGTTTGAATGAACTGCTCGCAACCTGCATATTTAATAAGAAGCTGATCCAAGTCATTTCATTGAGTTGCTTGCAACCTGCCTGCATCAACTGCTTGGAGATAAATTTCAATAAAATACTAAATGAATAATCTTATTCAGGAAGATTATCTATGGCGAAATAATAAATGGACATCCATAATAATATTTTCATAAGAGCTGCCCAATTTTTAAGTTATTGGCTAGTTTTAAATAATTTTTAAACCCTGGTTGAAACTTAAATAGCAGCCCAAAGGATGGCTATACGTGCAAACTACCCCCCAAAAAAAGAAAAAAAAGAAAAAGAAAACCCCGGTCACGAGAAGGATAATTCGTTCGAGTTTCTACCACCAGATTGACTTTCTCTTCATTTTTCAGAAATAATCAGCTCATGGGAGAACTGAAAGAAGAAACAGAAATCAACCAACCCACAGAACAATCTCATTCTGTAATACCTCTATCTTCTTTTCTTTTTTCTGCAATTACAGTTTTGATTCCTGCTTATAGTTGGGTATTTTTCATGATTAACAATGTGAATTCAATCTCTGATTTTTATTCCCGTAGTTTGTGGAATTGACCATTTTGATCATTCAGTTCGAATTGTAATTGTTTTTTTTTCTTTTTTCATTGCTATATTGTAATTTCTGTAAGTTCTTTCTGAATTCATGGTTCTTATATGGTTAATTATGTTTCGTTTCACTATTCAGTTCACAATGAAATTGTCCCTCTTTTGTAATCAGTTGTTTGCTGTAATATCTGCTAGAATAGTTCATATTCTAATTGCTATCCTGAATTTTGTGTTTTTTCATACAGTTCTTTATTGACTGTTTGATCATTCAGTTCACGATGAAATTGAGTGTTCTTGTATTGTGCAACTAAAAAATTTCTCCTTTTTTTTCTCTTTCTAATTTCAACTAGAATAGTTCATTAACTAATTGCTACCTTGAGGTTTCTGGAAGTGATTATTATCCTTTGATCCTTATGAAATTCTAAAAGGACAGCCCGGTGGACAAGGCATCCCGTCCCGTGTTCACGCAGGGTCCGGGGAAGGGCTGCACCCAAAGGGGTGTGATGTAGACAGCCTACCCTAATTCAAGCATTAGTGACCGCTTCCACGGCTCGAAACCGTGACCTATAGGTCATACGGAGACAACTTTACCATTGCTCCAAGGTTCCCTTCTTCCTGAAGAAATTCTGCTACACAATTAATTATTGGCCGTTGATCGTTCAGTGCAATAACAAAATTGTGTAGTTTTGTAATCTGCAATTAGAATTGGTTTTACCCTTTTCTAGTATTACAAGACTAATTCATTTTCTAATTGTTACATTGAGGTTTCTGAAAGTGATATTATCTGTTGATCCTTTTGAAATTATGGTATTAATACGGTTTTTACTTCCCATTTGATCATTCACTTCACTATGAAATTGGGTATTCTTGTTATAAGTAAAATTGTTGTTTCTAATTTCTACTCGAATTGTCATTTTCTAACGGCTACCTTGAAGTTTCTGAGTGATATTGTACTTTGATCCTTCTGAAATTGTGTGTTTTGATACAGTTGATTGTTGCCCATTTGATCATTCAGCAGAATGAAATTTAGGAATTTTTTACTTATAAAAAAGCTGGATATGTTTGCAATCAGAAATTGAAATTGATTTTTCTAATTTCTGCATTGTAGTTTGTGGAAGTGATTTGCAAATGCACTGGCAAGACTTGGCGATTTGCTGCTGGAACAGAGGCAAAATTCGCGCTGAAATTTATCAATGACAGTAGGATTAAATCTATCTTGGCAAACCCACCCGTAGCCTATATTGAAGCTGTTAAAGATGGGGAAGTGCCTGTCATTTTTGGCCCCAACTCAATTCTTGTGAATTACGGGAAAGGATGGAAATTGCAGCCAGCCACTGAGACAACAAGTAAACTATTATGATTTTTAATTGTTTTTGGTACCTGAATTGCTTAGAAATAGGAAATTGTCAGTGGTAAGATTTTTTGTAATTCTCTTGCAGCAGGTTTTTCAAGAGGGACGCCTGATGATTACGCAGCAGCGCAACCAGCTTTTGTTCCTCCGGTATGATTGTAACCACACAAATCAAATTACCTATCCTTTTTACATGAATTATCATTCTTTCCATTTCCCAATTTGAATATTCACATTTAACATGTCTTGGAAGTTAAACAGCAGTAGGTTCACATTTAACTAGTTGCCTTTTTCTTTGTTTTGTCTTGTGCTTAATAGAAATATATTAGATTGAAGCAGTATGAAAATTTATAAAGGAGTTACAAAGTAACAATTTGATTGTGTATTACTCCACTGTGATTCTAAAAGCTTCTCCAAAAATAAAGTAGACACTATTTTGGAAATGATTAATAAAGTGAAGTGGACATTCAATATAATATCTTTCATATTGTTCGTGTTTTGAATCTATATTTACTAGGCAAATCCCTCGTACCTCTCCATGTATGTGTATTTGTGTCTGTTTAAGTGTGCATTGTCAATTTTGGGTAGCTATTCTTGTTCCTGTGGTTTAAATTTGCATTTCCTTGCTTTACAAGCTGCAAACTTAAGGCTCAGTTGAATGCAGATACAAAATAGAAGGCATTATAATAACCCCCCTGCATTCTCATGTATTTAGATATTATTTCAGAATTGTCATTGTTTTCTTCACTGGCAAAAAAATTTAAAGTCTTTGAGTACTCCTCAGATGATTACTGATTATTTGCACTTGGAAACTTCGTCGTTCTCTTAGTGATTTTAGCTTTTAAACCCTCTTCAGTTTACATATGTCAAATTTGTATTTGAAAATTGTAGTGAAATGAGATGTATGCCAGATATAAGTGCCATTCCTTAATCCAGTTACATATATCAAATTTTGTTAGGAAATTGTGTATAAATGCGCATTATGCCAATTTCCAGACTTTCTTATATCACTTGCATCTGAATCTTTTAATACTTTTGCTTTCTTAAATCTGTCTCCACCCATCAGATACTAGATAAGGAGAGAGAACATGTTTGGAGGCCTATACGTGTTAAATTTTCCTGCAGTGTTGCAGTATCTAGACTCCATTGGACAGAAAGGAATACCTACATACATATGGAAGTGTAAAATTGTGTAAAATGGATACTCAGCAGAGTGTATTTTCTTTTTATAATTCAGTATTGAAAGAAGCAATTAGCCTAATTTTCTTTATAATGTGAGGTAAAGGAATTCTGTTCATGCTCATGATAAATGAGGAGATAAGGCATCTCTTCTTTTTTGATTGACAAGGAGGAGGAGGAGAAGGGAATGTGGTTACAAGAAGAATATTAACACTCTGGTTAAGGTGCTGAAATAATCTGATATTAGTTAGTTTAAAAACTATGAATAATATAGAATCCTCAAGTATAAGAAATACTCTTTATGGCCCTTCCCTTAATGTTTTTCTGTTGTTTTCATTTTCCTCTCATCTCTGGGTGCCTCCCACCCAAAAGTTTTGTGGGGTTATGTGATTTAGATGGAGAGTAAGTTTAGCTAAAGTCTCAAAAGTGATTGAACTCGAAGCTATGCATCAAGGGTGAAGCCACATGGTCATAAGGGCGGTCAATTGACCACCCTGCGTCGAAAAATTTATACTGTTTATATAGGTAAAATATTACATTGTAGAGGTATATAACACATATTGAACACCCTTTCTCGGGAATTTTTTTCACTTCTTTCAAATTTGAACACCCTTGGGGAAATTCCTAGCTTCGCCACTGCTATGCATGAGAAGAAAAGCAGACATACTTTCTGATTCTCTGCCTTTCATTGTTTGCAGGTTTCAGACAACTCTCACTCTGCAAGGAGAAAATCACAAGCTGCTGTCAGCCCTCTCTACATCGGAAAGATATTGCTTGTATTTTTTCTAATGTTTTTGATTGGTACCCTCTTCACCTTGTTCCTGGAAAACCTTCCACAGCTAGTACAAAATCTTAATATGAGCTCAACCATTGAATAGCTTCTGAGAGATGCATATAGCCTGTATTTAAGCGCAGCTGCTTGTGTAGCAAATGTGGAATATTTGCCTATGGTATATCATATATTGCCAAGCGCTTGTTGGACAATTGTTTCTTACCACTCCCTTGTGATCATTTGTTGCCTTGTTTCCTGCTGTGTCTGCACATATGATATTGAAATCTTTGAACTTTCCTTCCCTTGGGATTGTTAGGGGTCAGTCTTCAGAGTTTGCAGCTGGAACCTGGCCTTGCTAGTAGATCCAAAGCGTTGAGATTACATATTTAAAGAAGAAATCTTACTTTTACCATCTAACTTTTTTGTTCGTTTCTCATCCAAAGTTTGGTGAAACTAAAAGATGTTTTTCTTCATATGAATATAAGTTTTAATTTGAAACTCTTTAAATAACACAAGTAAATTGCATATTTAATTAGCAAAGCGTAGAAATAATCACCAATGACAAAATATTTAGACGTACCAAGAATCGATTGCGTTTTTTGTCCTCAAAATAAAGTTCATGTGTACACACAAAAAAAAGACTCTTAGGGTCTTACTGGATTATAATAGAATTTTTTTTATTGGAACGTTAATTTATGTGAGCAGTGTGTAACAATAAATAGATTATTCTGCGTGAATTTCTTATAAGCAGGCCAAGAATTAGATTCAATAATCAGTATACATGTATAACTTCTAGTTTAAAAGTAAATCAGAGTTAAAATTTATTAAGAATTCTCACTAGATAATGCTGTAACGATTTTTACTCTGATTGAAACAAATTAACTAAAACGAGGCGCTTACCTTGACAGATAATTTTGTCATTTTAGGTGTTCTTATCTAGGTATTGCTAAATATTAATACAAGTATTCTTATTTTAATTGGATAATACTCCTCAGGCAATTGGTAAACGTAAAAGTTGGACCCAAAAGAAAAACCTCATACTTCTAGGGCCACATTTTACTTTTTCCTATTCGTAAAATGATTTAAAAAAAACAAAAATATGAACCAAAATAAAATAAATAAATAAATTGTATCTCTGATATGTAAGAAAAAAATAAATAAAGAAGATATTCTTTTGTTATATGCTCTTACTCAAACCTCACCATCTTCCAATTACATTTTTCACCATTGAGAACAAAATCAACTATTGTTTGGTTTTTATTCATCACAATGGGAACGCTAACGAGCTGCAGTTTCAGCTCAATGAATATAAGGTTCCGTTTGAATCCTCCAGTTAATTACACTTTCAGTCGAAGAATCCAATTGAAGAGAATGTCCAAACGGAATTTCGGTCGATTGATTATTAGGTGTAGTAGCGGTAGTAGTGGCAATGGCAGTAGCAATGACAGTGGTAGCAGTAGCGATGGGAAATTGGAAAAGGATTCTTCAAATTTGGCTACAGTTACTGAAGAAACCACTGAAGAAAGGAACGGCGGCGGTGGCGCCAGCGGTGTGGAAAATGATTCGGATGATTCTCCGGTGTCAATTTCTTCCAGAGTCAGTTTCTCTTTTGTTTTTGTTTTTAAAAAATCTGAGTTTTTTTTTCCGTTTTTTTAGATATTTTAATTTTATGTTAGTGTTGTTATTGTCTAAATATTTAAGTTTATTGCTTCAAGTTATATTTTTAGAATTTGGTATGGATGAAAGGAGGAAAATTTGGCGTAAACGAAGAGAAGATAAGTGTATTTAACTGATAACTGATGATATAAGTAATTAAGTATTAGTTATTACTAGTTTATTGTGTGTTGTTCTTTATGCAGCTGGTTGTTGTACTATGATATAGGCTTATGCAGTAGGAGAACTTGTTCTTCCAGCTAGGTGTTCATATGCCCTTTTCCCTGGTTGTTGACTTGCTTATACGGATAGGAAATACATTTAAGGAAATGAATGGAGAGAAATATTGAAAAATCTGATCTTGAATGGCAAAGCTTAAAAGCAATTTGCCTATTTGGCGGAATTATTAAAAGCTATCACTTCGTCATTTAATGCAAATGAAGCGATGCGAAGCACAAGAGCCATGCACTCTGAAGAAGTATGCGCTTCAAACATGACACAAAGTGATCCTGACGAGAATCACTTGTTCTTTGAATCTCACATTTGAGGAATTGCATTAGTATCAACATTATTGTAAATAGGATGCTAAAAATTAGTTACTTAATTGCGATTTGATTGTTTTAGTACTAAATTCATATATGTTTAATATTTTTTAATTCTCTGTAACTTGCGTCACTTCAAAGGAGCATGCTCTTCACTACTCGTTTTTTGTTTCAAGTCTCATGGACCTTATTGCTTCTTTGCATTTTTCACTTTAGAAAACACTAATATTGGAATCATTTCAAAAACAGCACTGATACTGGGAAATCTTACAACTAGTTTCTTTTGAAATTGCAATACCGAAGGCTTTTCACTTTTATATAGGAGTACTGTTTATATTTCAACTAAGTGACTGGTTTAAAGGAATTGTGGCTGGGGTGTCTATGAATTTAAGAAACTTATCTGGTCATTAAGATAGCAAGAAAAGTGTCAAATAATTATCCTTTATTACATTGTAGTCAGAAAATGTTCAAGTAATCTCTGTTGGCTCATAAGAAGCTCGCCACATGTATTCCTATAATGGTCAAAATAAAGAGTAGCTTCATGATATGAAGCAATGTTTTGAAAGGCGTTTTCGGGGCGAGCCCTGGGGCGAGGCACACCAAAAATGCGTCGGGGCGATGGTGTGGGGCGAAAGTCTCAAGAGGCATACGCCCAGCAATTCGGGGCGTACGCCCGGGTGTTTGAGGCGAGTTGTTTTAGTGAGGCGTAAGCCCCAGAGAGGTTTTCAAATTAAAACAAAATTTGTTGAATAAGCCCTTCATATAATACCCAAATTTTCAAAATTCAGCTTGGTAATTACTCAAAAGTTTTAAAAGGAACTGAAATGTATTAAATTTAAAAGTCAATACCTTTTTTATTGATTGAAGCCCCAATTCATGGTCTTTTCTAATTCTTTATCTTGTCCGCTAGTCTGCTAATATCTCCCAAAAGCAACGAATATTCAATTTTTTTTTTTACAAATACAAAGAGAACTCCATTCTCTTTCATNATATATATATTTCACATTTTTATAGTTTTCTTCATTTTTTATGCAATTTTACCTGTTTATAAATATTTATTGTAATTATATTATTTTATAAAATATTAAAAATTAAATACCTATGGGCTTACGCCTCGCTGAGGCATATGTAAAACGTCTCGCCTTACGCCCACGCCTTTTAAAACATTGATATGAAGAAACATTAAACAGATGAAGAGGAGAAACCAATGTACTGAATGTGTTTGCTTTCTTGGCAGCCAACAATATCCACTGTTGGATCAACTTATAATAATTTCCAAGTAGATTCTTTTAAGTTGATGGAACTTCTTGGACCAGAAAAGGTTGATCCCAGTGATGTGAAGTTCATTAAGGAAAAGTTATTTGGCTACTCTACTTTTTGGGTGACTAAAGAAGAACCATTTGGAGATCTTGGAGAGGGCATTCTTTTCCTTGGGAATCTTAGAGGAAAGAGGGAGGATGTTTTTGCCAAACTTCAGAGTCAGTTATCAGAAATTATGGGTGATAAGTACAACCTGTTCATGGTGGAGGAACCTAATTCAGAGGGGCCAGACCCGCGTGGTGGGCCCAGAGTCAGCTTTGGTATGCTGCGGAAAGAAGTTTCTGAACCAGGTCCAACAACTCTCTGGCAATATGTAATTGCTTTTCTGTTGTTCCTTCTCACTATTGGTTCCTCTGTGGAGCTAGGAATTGCATCTCAGGTCTGCTCGTTAACCACACAGTTTGACTTTAAAGACATTGTTTCATTTCTTATTCTTCTCATAAAATTCTCTATTTTTTCTAACAATTGACTTGATGACTTAAATTTATGTTGAGCAGATAACTCGCCTTCCTCCTGAGGTAGTTAAGTACTTTACTGATCCAAATGCAATTGAACCACCAGATATGCAGCTTTTATTACCGTTTGTGGATTCTGCTTTACCGTTGGCATATGGTGTGCTGGGTGTGCAGTTATTTCATGTAAGATTTCTTTGTTATCCTTTTAGTTGATCGAATGAAATTCTCTGTAATGAAGGGGTCAGCCAAGTCCAAAAGGAACATGAAAATCTTCTCTAAAGTTCCCAGTTCTGTCGCTGATTATGATAGAATGGTGTAATTTAGGTTTTGGCTTCCTTCTTTGGCAATATTGATTACATTAGTTAGGTTGACTAGGGTTTGATTTTCTTCAAAAAAGAATAATTAGCTTCGATTTTAGTATTTCTTTTACTTTGAAGTTTTAAGTTTCAAGTTAAAATAGGATGGTGGACAAATATTAAACTAGATAGAAATACTAAGGAGCACATTTATTGGCCTCAGAGTAGAAGCTCTGTGTTAAGTTATAGAGCATTTTTACTGCTGAAAAGGGGAAAATAATCTCAACAGAAAGGTTACTTTTAGGGGGGAAAAAAACGAACTGCCAAAACAATGAAGATGTCCCGGACTGATTTAGCTATGCTAGTTTGCTACAAAATGCAATGTTAATCGTGGAAAAAATTGTTAGTCTAATAAGTATTGATAGAATGCATTAAGACAACTATCTTACCCCTAAGTTCTTTTATAGGCACATTTACAATGTATATATCTGATGTGGGACAGTACCACATTTAATGTTAAACCTGTATACCTATAAATCTAAACTAGCTATCTAACACTTACCCTCAAGCAGGTGCATGAAAGAAGTAGCTATCTAATACTTCCCCTCAAGCAGGTGCATAACATGTCGTATGGACCAAGCCTGCTACATATATAATTGGTTCATGAATTGGTGAGGGGCTTGGTGAATAAGTTAGCATGTTAATTGTTCAACTTCACAAACTTAGTGACGATTTCTAGGAATATCTTTTCTTTGGCAAATGGTAATCAATCTCTATGTGTTTGCTCATCTCATGATACATAGGATTCGATTTGATCTGAAGTGCAGCTTGAACTTTGAAGTCAAAAGTGACTGTACATTGCTGCCACATGCATTCGAATACTTGGCTGAAAACCATTTCTAGGTATTAGGCACCTTTTAAATTAATGTCAAACGTGATCAGAAGTAGTAGAAGGAAGCATTAGCTATAAGTTACTACAGACTTATCACATTGTAGTCATAAGTACTATATAGTACTGGGCTCAGACATGTAGAAGGGACAATTGTATGTGTATATTAGATAAGCTTAGCTTTTGCATCTCTAAATGACATGTGGCTTAACATTGCTGTAATTCCGCGTGACAGCTTGAAGTTTACCTTTCATTTTCATTTGCTTTTGGAAAAAATTTCCCTTTCTGCCTTGCTCGTTTGTTGCTGCAGTTCTACCAGAGTAGCTTAATTTTAAAATATAGTAGAATAAAACAAGATGTTAAACTGAAAAAGAGATGGTGGTTAGTCTCTCCTTAGATGGTTTTATACCTTCATATGATCATTTCTGTTCCTCCAAACTTATTCCTCCCTGTTCAATTTTACATGAAGAGTTGATTTGTTGCAGGAAATTGGGCATTTTCTGGCTGCATTTCCAAGGAATGTGAAATTAAGCATTCCTTTCTTTATTCCAAACATCACTCTTGGAAGCTTTGGAGCAATCACTCAGGTTAGCATAATTTGTTGTCACTTGTCAATGCTTGAAACAGTAAAGATGGCAGCTGAGGATTCTAAACTTTCTGAAAGATTTGTGTAAATGGATCAATTATTTTGAATTCCCCAATGTGCTGTTTGCTTTCAGGAGAGCCATGACTGAGTACATTGTCATTCACCTGGTTTTATTAAAAGATGGAAAATGCTGGTAATATGCTTTTGAAGTGGTTCTTATGCATGGATCTTGTTGTCATTGTTAAAGCTTAAACCCTGGGTTATAGGAAACTTAATAGGTTCCTTTTTGTGAAGGGGGTAGGGTTTACATTTCATTTCTGCGCAGAGGCAGGCCTGTTGGCAGAATGCATTTACTACAGGGAATTGGTGTAAAGTGTTCGAGATATGCTACTAGCAATTTCTTCTGGCTGCAGCCTCCTCCAAACAATCTAGTATAAGTCCTTTTGAGAACACGAGGATTTCCAAGATGGTTCTGTAATATACAATAGTCATTGGACATTAATCCCTTGGGGTGTTAATAATAATATTATTCAATTCTCTTTTCCTTACCCATTTGGTTCTCACATTATCTAGGACTTTTGTCGTTTTAGATTTGTTAGTTCAAATTTGTGATAGAGGAGTGAAGTAAGAGTTCTAAATGTAGGCTGTGAATTGAGGAGGGGGAAAAGAAGTAGAAGTGGTGGTGGAGGAGAATCAAATGTTATCTTTGCTTATTAAGATGATGTGAATGCAACTCTTCAAATGATGTTAATATGTAATATACTCAATGCTTGCCCTTGTTAAGTGTCACTTATTTTGTTCCTTATCCAAAAAAAAAAAGTGTCACTTATTTTGTTAAAGCATATGTAACAGATTTGACAATGGTAGAGTCTAGCATGGAGGGAAAAATCATTGTGAAGGATCTGTGCTAGATTAATCTACTTCATTAAACCTTGTCATTCCGCCTAATTCATCATCACTCTATTAAGCATAAAACATATGCATTAATGATCTTCTCTTGGTTCCTGCAGTTCAAATCTATTCTTCCCGATCGCAAAGCAAAGGTAGACATTTCTCTTGCGGGTCCTTTTGCTGGTGCTGCATTGTCTTCTTCCATGTTTGCGGTTGGCCTGTTACTCTCATCCAATCCTGCTGCTGCTGGAGAGTTGGTTCAGGTTCCTAGCACACTTTTCCAGGGCTCTTTGCTTCTCGGGCTTATTAGCAGAGCCACTCTTGGTTATGGGTAAGTTTAGCCCTCCACAGGGAGCGAAAGCATGACGTTCTTGGAAAATAATTTTCAATATGTACATTAGAGTTATTTTTCTTGTTCGCTTGAGGAGTAACCTCTTTTTGCTTATTTATTTTTGGTGCACCCACGAGATTCCTATTTGTATAGAAGATTGGGAGTCTTTCATAGAAAACCATGTCTTTTTGTAAGGTTTTCTACTTTTTGGTATCCTTGTACACGGGCAAGTTTTTGCCCCTTTTTAATGAATTTATTACCTTATCAAAAAAAAAAAAAAAAAAAAAAAAAAAAAAAAAGAAAGAAATCCCTTTGTCAAAACCCCTATATCTGTAGGCTGATCACTTTGAAGTGCATAAATATAGTTGTTTCTAAAAGAAAACCTTAACAGTTATGTGCATGAAGGCCAGGGAACTTTTTGCTTTTTCCAAATTGGCAATATATTTTCGTTTCACTATTTCAAATCTTTAGCATATAACATTTGAGCTAATGTGCATTCATTTTCACAGAGCAATGCATGGTGCAATGGTTTCAATCCATCCTCTTGTGATAGCTGGCTGGTAAATTTGAGTTTGTTGCAAGTAATTTTGTTGGCTTAAGTTTAGCATGCTTGCTCTAAAATTCATTTTGTAGGTGTGGCTTGACTACATCGGCTTTTAATATGCTGCCAGTTGGATGTCTTGATGGTGGGAGAGCTGTGCAGGTGGCCTTTGCATTCTTTATTCTTTCAACTTGTTTTCATGAACTTGGGACACTGTCAAGCTTAATAACAAAGCGTAATCAATTGCATCCTATGAAATTTGAATGATGACAAGTTGCTAACTTTGACGTAGACTGTTGTTTTCATAATATTAGATGAATAACGGTGCAAAGCTTGAAAAGATATTACTAATACCTACGATTCTAGTATTGCAAACTTGTGGGCTCCTAACGAGATAGCGGCTGTTGAGACTTCTTAGCATGCTTAGACAATTTGGTTTCCCGATATATTTTGCTGGCTTTTTCGTGAAGAATTGTGACCTCAGAAAATGAAGAGCTTCTTGGCTAAGTGATAATTGGTTGTCCCAGATAAAGTGTGACGACTGTCAACTTCATTTTTTGTTTCTGGCAGGGAGCCTTTGGGAAAGGATCACTTATTGGTTTTGGTTTGGCGACATACACACTTCTGGGCTTGGGCGTGGTAAGCAGTCTTTTGTCATTTGATATTGGTAGAACTTAAAAGTAAATCTTCACATTGCTCAAAGTTATGACTAATATGTTTTAGGCCAAATACATAGACAACCACCTAAACTTGGCACCAATTTCCACTTTCGAGCGTGAACAACCAGAATTTTTGCTTTTAGTGTTTTTTCCTCTCTTTTTCTTCTCTCTCCTCCACCGATCTCTCAACCTTCCCCAATTTCTCCATAAACAACCATGAACCTTTTTTGCCCCCTTCAATCTTACTCCAACGCACAGGTGCCATGGTCCCTTTCTTCTCAACCTTATGTCACTGTCTTCCTAAATTTTCCACTACAAAATACAAATTCCTCTCTTTCTGTTTAACTTTCTCTATAGATCTTTGAGGACCTCATATAATTACAAAAAAGAAAAACTTATAGGCGCCTTTTTCTCAATAATTTACTGTTTGTGCAATATGATGGACTTTGGAATAGAGAGCTACACCAACCCCACCGCCACCACTGCAACTGCCGACGGCAATTCCGATTATGATATTCCTCAGACGTTGTCGTCTTCCGGTGTTTATCAAACCCTTCTTCTCATTAAATTCAATGACTCACTTTGAAAATTCAGGCGGCTAGGGAAATTGGACACCTCACATAAATTTCTAATTGTTATTGCCGTTATTTCACCAACACCGTCAAACTCCTCTGTGACATCCTTTGTTTCAGTTCCATCGTTGCCTCACCAACACCACCTTCTTCAACTCTCCGCCATCAAACTCCGACCGTAAAAGCATTTGCCGTAGCCCTGAAATTTTCAGCACTTGTTTTGTTTCAGAGCAAGATAACTCTGAAATTTGCCGGAAATAGTGGGGGGGGGGGGNTCTCCGCCATCAAACACCGACCGTAAAAGCATTTGCCGTAGCCCTGAATTTTTCAGCACTTGTTTTGTTTCAGAGCAAGATAACTCTGAAATTTGCCGGAAATAGTGAGGGGGGGGCGACGGCTGTTTTATTTGTTTCATTTGCTCAAAATCTTTTTTTAACTGAAAAGACACTTGGCATTTTTTATTCCTTATTCTATCATGTAAGAGCGTGTGAATTTCACGCAATGTATTTTGTGTACGGGTTAGTCACAAAGTGTTTAATAGGTATAGATTGACTTAAGTTAAAGTGTCTAATAGGAACAAGTCTGAATCGATGTGTTTAAGTGGAAATTGGTGCCAAGTTTAGGTGGTTGTCTATGTATTTGCCCTGTGTTTTATTACTTCGATGTGCATATGTGGATCAAATGTCTATCCTTCATATATGCAATCGTTGTCCAGTGTCTATTTGTTCCCTCTTCTTTGTCACTCCCTTTCTGTTAAGTTTTCATTAGTATTAGGTTGGAAATCTGGAACCTTTTTTACTTATTTCATGTGCGCATTGAGGTCAAATCACTTACGGTCTTTTACACATCTGTCCTTTACCCTTTTTGCTTAGTGTTGCAAATTGTACAGTCACTTAAAACATTCTGTTTGTGCTGCTATCAGCTTGGTGGACCTCTTGTCACTTCCTTGGGGATTGTATGTGCTTATATGTCAGGTAATAAAAATACATTGCTTTATGAAGTATTATGCTTGTGTAATAATATCGCCGTCCTATTTCATGGTATATAAGTGTTAGTCGTTTACAAGTAAAAATCTTGGATCGTGTGACGTACAGAGGACACCGGAGAAACCATGCTTGAATGATGTAACAGAGGTCGGAAATTGGAGAAAAGCAGCTCTTGGTGTGGCTATATTCCTTGTTGTATTGACTCTTCTTCCTGTATGGGATGAACTTGCAGAAGAACTAGGTATAGGTCTTGTAACCAGCTTTTGATTCATTAAAGATGGAGTCCTGCCAATTTTGATGTGGGCATGGGCTTAAGGAGTTGGTATGCATCATTTTTTAAGTAATCATACTGATCTTTTGACTGTACGTAGTGGACTATGTATACATGTATATAGTGAGCTACCATTTTTTTATTGCAGATTTATCTTAATAAACGAGGAAATATCATAAAGGGATACAAACTCGAAAACACAAAACTGAATAGATCTCTTATAGTAAGCAGGGGCGTTTCTAGTTGTTAGGATATGAGTTCATGTGAACCCATACTCCTCTCTGTAAATCATATATAATAATGTTATATTTCTTCAAGATTACTTAAAGTATATATACGTGCATCCACGTTCAAAGACTCCTATGGTGCAATAATTATTGGGTGCACCTCTACGAGTCAAATTGGCGGTTTAAATTCCACTTTGGACGGTTTTGTTTTCGGCAATGAACATAGATATATACGTGAAAATTACTAAAATTTTAAAAAGAAGATAATTTTGAACCTATAATTTCAAAAATCTAGTGGATTCATGTTAAAAAACTAAAGTTAAACACGTCAAAATGTAAATTCTAGATCCACCTATTTACAATAGTGCATCCATCCTCTTGAAATCCTGGATCCGCCTCTGATAGTAAGTGCCAGTTGATGACCGATCTTTAAGATCATGAATCAACAAAAAATAGATTTGAGAAAAACTTTATTTCTTAAAAGGATTTAATCCTTTTCCTCTCAATAACAGATTCGAGAACAAATACACATTTTCGTGATTTGTATCCGAGGGTCATTTAGACAATGAAAAATTGGATTATGAAATTGCGAAACATAATTNAAAAGGATTTAATCCTTTTCCTCTCAATGACAGATTCGAGAACAAATACACATTCTCGTGATTTGTATCCAAGGGTCACTTAGACATTGAAAAATTGGATTATGAAATTGCGAAACATAATTTTGGAATTGGATCAATACTTTCAATTGAATAAGTATGAATAAAGGATCCATGGATGAAGATAGAAAGTTGATTTCTAATCTAACTAAATCTTCAATTTCTTATTGCAAAATTGCTATTAAACGATGACTTTGGTTTAGTAGAGACATCAGCCTATTGTTTTAGCTCGGTGGAAACAATATTCTTTTCCTTAGGATCCTATTAAATAGAAATAGAGAACAAAATAACTAGAAAGGTTGTTAGAATCCCTCTCTTCTAGAAGGATCATCTACAAAGCTATTCGTTTTATATGTATTAGACCAAAAGCTGACATAGATATTATGGGTAGAATTTTATTTTATTTTTTTCCGAATTTTGTTCACATCTTAGATTTATAAAATGACTCATCTCCATAAAAGAGCCGAATGAAACCAAAGTTTCGTGTTCGGTTTTGAATTAGAGACGTTGACTAGCCTTCCAATTTGGCTATTTTGAGGGGTGTCTTTGATTTTTAAAATTAATCTGAAAACAGAAACAGAGTTATACCTTGAAAATTAGAATGTCTTTACAGCTCTGTAATCAGNAATTTTATTGCCATCATTTAATACTAGTACTCCAATTTTACTTTTTGAGACAATTAACACTATAAACACAATTTTGTAATGTCATGTTTCAATTCTGTGCTAGTATTAAAGTGAAGTTAGTTCTACCCCGTTATTAGGTAAAGTTCGAAACTTGTTAAATTATTTCACAAAGAATTCATTTGATGGTAGAGAATGCCAAAAAAAGTTGTGATGATTAAACATATTGAAACTTAACTCAGAGATCGCAAAATAAAATAAATATTCCTTTTGGACGCAAAAACAGCCTAATAGTGATACTAAATAATTGTGAAGCATTTCATCTTAAAGATTAAACCCACCATGGGATCAATTTAGATCCCATGGTATCATTCATACCCGATTTTGATAAAGTGTTCAAAGAGCAGTTTGTGCAATAAACTCCGCTATTTGCAAAGTAAATAAATTGGATGACATTAAATCTTTTGTATGCAAATTTACATTGCAGTTTATAATATGATAGGTGTAAACTGGCGGGTCGGGTCGGATATGGGACGGGTCGAAAACGAGTAATGAAAAGACGGATAAACTATCCGACCTGACCTATATTTAATACGGATAAAAAATGGGTTAACCGACGGATAATATGGGTAACCATATTATCCATGGCTTCATGAATATGATCACTTTTGGGAGAATTTCTAGTCTCCCAAACTTGAGGAACCCCCAATTTGAGATTTTACAAATGTAAAAATTAAACCTATTAGTTATTCATTTTCTAAATGGATAATATGGTTTTTATCCATATTTGACCCGTTTATAAAAAGTTCATTATCCAACCCATTTTTTAGTGGATAATATGGGTGGTTAACTGTTTTCTTTTAATCGTTTTGCCACCACTAGGTCACGGTTAAAGTTGTCTCCACATGACCTATAGGTCACGGGTTTAAGCCGTGGGATCAACCATTGATCAGGATAGACTGCCTACATCATACCTTTTAGGATGCGGCCCTTTCTCGAACCATGTATGATCGGAGATATTTCTTGAACCGGACTGTTTAGAATTTATAATCTGATAAAGCGTTGAGATATCAACAAATCAAAACATCGTAATCATATTATATATGTAAGCTCATGGGGGCCTGCTTTCACTTTCTTGTTCTAACTTTTGCTTACAAATTATTGCTTGCTTGTGAAAGCCATGCCATCTTTTCTGATTATCCCGACGTTTCGCGTATTGATTGGGTCAAAAACAGTTTTATTTTATTTTAGTATAATAAAAATATAAAAACACTATACTATGGTCAAGTTACATCCATCTATATCTATATTTGTGTAAATTGAAAATGTACGATTCATTATATATACATGAATATTGATAATCACCTAGTTTGACTTATATATATGTTCTATAGGCAATGACGGAGTCATTTTATGCTAGCGGGTGTCAATTAACACCTCTTTGTTAAAAAATTACATTGTTTAGTTAGGTCAATTACCTTTATTTTTTGTTGTATGTCCACTTTTTTATATTTGTACATACCTTAATAAAATTCTAACTCCACCACCATTCGGCTGCGGCGTTCCTTCAATTTCCTTGCCACTGTGCAACCTTGTCTTCTGGTCTTGTTTCAATATGCAAAAAAACACGTATAATCATCAATGTTTCAATATGCAAAAAAACACGTATAATCATCAAATTAGATATAATAAAGTTGGGTTTGACAAAACAAACGAAAAATCGTTTCAAATTCGTTAGCATAGTGTCGTCGTTTCCCACCTTTACGTGATAGTGAAATAACTCTAAAATCGTTTAGTTTACTTATTAATTACTTATAATTCATGGATAGTTTATGCGTGAATTGTTATTGTACATGAAATATAAATTATCCTAAAAGGAGATGTTTTTAAATAGTTTAATTCATGCCTTGCCAATACACGTATAAAATTTTATTATATATTTTATCCCAATAAAATATCATAAATTTCTACATAACCGCAATACCACCAACTAAATGCAAATTTAATGATGCCCGCATTTAATTTTTTTTATTTAATCAATTAAATCTTATATTATCTTATGCGTATTTTATGCTAAGATTAATTATTCATGTCCAAAATTTGATCACGCCCAACTATGCCTTATAAAAAGGACTAAGCGGTCGTTGCAAATATAATCCGGTTTACAAGTCCGGAATCGAATCCTACAGAAAACTAAGGCTTAGCTACAGTTGTTCAATATTGCAAAGAAACACAAGTTCAAATAATTTTCTAG